CCCCAAAACCCCAAAACCCCTGTTGATGAATATTTGGAAATTCAATTAGTAAGGAAAATAAGTTAAATATTTCAACAAGTTAAAATTATACTAATCTAATATAATATCCTGTTTTTTATATCTGTTAGTGATGTATGATTAAGATCAGGTTCTATCCCCAAAAGCCAACAATAGGAAACATCACAAAAATACATTAAAGTATCAAAATCCTTATTGGAAGGTAGTTAATGGTGTACAAATTTAATAGTTCCATTGTCTAAATGCTATCTGAATTACTTTTCTTTTATGAATTGAAACAACATTTTCTTTAGCTAATCAACATTCTCAGAGTCTGAAAAATCAATGGATGAGAAAGTGTAAATAATTGACTTGAACCTATAGATAGTAATCATTATGACATTGTTATTCATAATCAAGGTAAATGAAATCATATGCTGCTCTTGCTTGTTTATCTTTTGATTCTTTAAATCATCCAATTGCTAAATAAACTTTACTTTGTTGGGTAAACTAAGTCCTTCAATTAAATCCTCACAATCATAGTATTTAGCTTACTTTTTTATCTAGAAAAAATGGGAGTTAGTCATTTCTTCAAATTTTTCAAGTATCTCTTGATAAACATAAAGAAATTTCTTGTTAATAAGTTTAGATTTTGAAAGCAAGAGCACATCGTTTTTAGAAAGATTCTGCTCTATCTTCCTCTATAAACTTATTACAAATTCATCTTTCATTGACGATATATCTGTGGTAAAACATTAATGCACTCTTAATCTGTAAAGTAGTTTCTAGATCTAGTTAAGATCTGCAGTTTCTAATTTGTATTTCGTAAATTTTTAGTATAAAGTAAGTGCAATCTCACCATATTTTTATTCCATGTTACAAAGTACCAGCTCATAAATATCTTGCTCCCCTAGTAAGAGTTTAGTTTTTTATTTTTTTATTCCATCCTTTATATCCTTATGCTTTTATTCTTCCTCTTCGCTATCAGTATTGCTAATTGATTATGACACACTAACAATATCTTGCAATTTATCATCCTCAGAGAGACTATTTTATTCCTCTTACAAAGACTTAGTACTTATCTTATGATCTATAATTTTCCTTTCTTTCCCTTCAAAAGTTTCTAAATTACTTTTAATTTACCTATGCTGAGAAGTTCTCTCTGATAGTTAAATCACTAATTTTTGAAGTTAAATGTCTGATGATAACTTATTTTACAAATATTGTGAGTTTATTTTTTAGTTTGATAGCATTAGATTTTTAAAGAGTGGATTATTTTCTTAAGTTGTCATTTTAAGTGATGATTTATCTTCTAAGAACACTTTTTCATCGTCACTTTTGAATATCATCAAAGCTCGATCTCTATTTTGTAAAGCATAAACTAAAAATTCTTCTCTGATAAGGGTTGGTTTAAAAAACCAGTACTAATGTGATTGAGCAATGTTACTAAACTCTTTAAAAGTAAGGCCATATTTTTTATGTGTGTCAAAATACTGCTTGCAGATGAAATTTGTAAACTCTTGAATAATCACTTGATTCGTTATAAAAAGCTCATAGAATGACTCGAAACCTTTCTTATCATCTCAGTTTCTGAATTTTTCAGTTTTTAAGACAAAATCTAAAAGATAATTAAAAGTGAAATCTATTTTTACTTGTGATAAATGTAATTGGTATGAAAAACAATTAGGATAGAAATTATTATAGTTCCTCTGAATTCCAAAGTATTTCATTTTCTTTCTAGACTCTGTCAAAGATTATTGAAAGCTTGAGCATTTTTTTATGAATAGTATCTGCTTTACAATAAAGCAAGGCAAACATTAATAGTTTTAGAAGTCTCAGTTTCCCCTTCTTTCCTTCATTGAAAAACGCCTCCTTATCAAATAACTATCTTAATATTTCTCTATTAACATCTTCAAATTCTTCAAAAATAACGTAGAGATCATCCAAAGAGTGATAAGATTTTTCCTCATAATTAGTACCCTCATTGAATATCTCTAAGAACCTATCAATGTCGCAATTTTTCATCCCGAATTTCTTCTCTGCTTTCTTATATAGCAAAAGTGCCTGAAAATGCGATTTCTCTAATAATGGATGATGATCATTGCCTTTAGATCTCTTAGTGTAATTTGAATTTCTCTCACAGCAAGTAAAAAACGAAAACAAAAACATTTTATTAAATAATTATCATTAATTTATAATGTTATCGTTTGCAAATTGGCATCAAAAGGGGTTTTGGGGTTTTGGGGTTTTGGGG